TCAGAGCTGGCGTCTCCGGCATAGTTGTTCTTAATCGCGGTCAGAGCGGAGACACCGATCGCTTTGGCGGCTGTCACGGCGGATGGGTTAGCCTCCTTCAGGGCCTCAGCAGCGTTGTTATATTTGGAGTCCTGAAGGTAGAGCAAGATGTGAGCGTCAAGCTCGTTTTTCGGAAGACGAAGAGAGCTCATGGCGGGCATAAAAACTTTCTTTAGAATTTTATAAAATTTATTATTATTAAATAAACCTAACATCAATAGAAACAAGGAGAGGGGTAAGTGTTTTGATATACACACATATGCTGTATTGTGACATGTGCCACCAAAAAGGATATTCTCTAATTCTTTCTCAAAAATATGTGTTAGGCAGAAAAGTCTTTACCGTCCTGCATTTCACCTTTCATGAGGCCCAAAAAAAATATATATATATATATATGAGAGTGTGTTTCATCTTCTTCCCCTCTGTAGATGCCAGTTGAAACGTAAATGCTTCAGTTTCCTTTCATGTCGGCTAGTAGAAGCCCCTGGTTTCACCGGATGTGGGGTTCGAACTCGGTTAAATATCGTTTCCACCGGCCTCCCCACATAGTATGGCTTATTGGTCGTTCCACACTGCTCACACGATTCACCTTGATATACGCGCTGGGTGGTTTTGGTTACCCACACAGAGTTAGAATTCCATTCGTTTTTACAAGACTTGCAGCGAAACAATCCTGTCCGTTTGGCAAGTGGTGGTGGCGTGTACATAATGTGTCGTGGTCGAAGCCATAATAGTAGCGTGGACTTGAACATGTGTTTTGGTATTGTATTTCTCAACCTCTTCCTATGCTATATGTGTGTGACCACCCGTTTCAGTGCATGGGTCAAAGAACTACCTGGAACTTATTTTAGAACCGTATAGATAGATATCCAATAATAGGGAATCACAATAGAAAGAGATTTCCAATAAAATAATCAGAAGGGTGGCTGAGGGACCCAGAATGTGAAGCCGGCATATTACTGTATCATTTAAAAAGGAAAAGCTCTACTAAAGGGGACATCTTTTCCTTCGTTATTTCTCGGCGTTGATTGGACGATTTATGAACTAGATAAACAAGCAAAAAGAATGTGCAATAGGTGAAATGATCATAAATATAATCTTGTGGTCTTTTTTATCATTCTTCTTCTATTTAGTGCGTTATCGTATGATTTTCTATGAAAGACTCTATGAGGGCAACCACACGACACACCAATAGTACTCGCGTGGGCAAGAACTAGGTGGCCATTATGGCAGCGTCCAGAATTTCATCCAGCAAAGTGAATCCTCGTAGGTTTGCAATCACCTTCAGCGCCTTGAGGTAATTCAGGATGCTCTTTTCCTTACCAACCAAAGGGCCACAACAATTATCACACAAGTAAGTCGTTGCCATTTCCTTGCATCTAAGACAGACGAAATCTTGCTGAACGTACTGCATCAACATTTGGTTCACCTCCCGAACAAGCCTTGCCTCTAACCCAGAGGCCGCGATGGCGGTATGACATCCTGGGCACGTAATGACACCAGCCTTGGGCTTCCCGCACAAGTCAATAGACACGTACGCGTTACAGAAGCTGCACGTGATGCTTTGAATGCGGATGAAGCTCAGCGGATCCACTTCTAAGAAGGCCTGTGGTGAGAAGGGGCTCACATTGCACAACCGCAGACAGTTGTTTCGCATCTTAGACACCACATCGTGACAAGGGATGTGCTCCAGGACACAGCACACATACTTCGCGTACTCCAGCGCGAGCATCTCACTAGAGTACAGGGCAGGACTTCCTAGAGAGAGACCCCCAGCCGTACCAGAGGCTGCGGCCTCGCGTTCCTCCTCGGTGTATAACTCTCGCGACTCGCGCACCGCGTCGACCTCAGCGATCAGCTCCGGTTGAACTTCAGCCTCAAAGAACTTTTGGAAGCGACGAACAAGACGGGCATGGATATCCTCGCCTCGGGTGACGAGGGCTACGGTGGTTTCGCTGCGGAGATCGGACTTTACCTGTTCCATAATACTTGCAAGGCGCCAAAAAAGGCTGCCTAGACACTCCTCCATACGACGCTTTAGATTCTGCGGCAGACGGCCGTGGATCATGTACGTTTGCTCTAGTTTGAGATGCTGCAGGAGCGACGAGCCCTTATGCGGTTCTTCTGATAGAGATTGGGTATCTTCCAGACGAAAGACCTCATCATTCGTAGCGTCTACGTAGAGTCCGGCAAAGTCGCGTTTGTTTAACAAGACCAATTGATGCCAGTAGCGTACTGGCTGCAGCGCCAACAGCACTAGCATGGGCTGGTCATGCAACGAGTTGGTAACGAAGCGAGCGAAGCTGGCGGCCTCCTGAATCGAGTACTTCGGTGTTACAATAGTAATCGAGGCGCTGTCTACCCGGACGGTGCGCCCACCAAGTTTAGCGAGCCGCAACAGCACCATCGTCAGCGCGCGATGGGAGAGATTGTTGAGGGTCTCGACCAAGCGTGGCTCATAACACGCCGATACCGGATCACGAATCCATCGAGTAACGTTACTCAAGAGATTATCCGCGATACTGTTATGCACCGCCTGACTGAGCACATCGGCGACTAGATCTCTGAGAATGTTAAAGTGTGAAGAGACACCTTTATCACACAACGCCTGCGTGCTGGGGTCAATGCCTTCCTGTATCATCTGTGAGAAAAGAATTGCCGCCATATCTAGCCTCGAGAGGCTGAACTCGACACACCACGAGGTGTAGCCACCAGGCATAACCACCTCGCGGGATCGCTCCTCAATGGTATCGAAGGCAATAGAGGGATCAGAGCTGCACCACATGACATGTGAGCGGCGATGGAGTGCGCGTGTGTAGAGGACATCAAGCACATGCACACAGCTATCCTGCGCCAAGTTACACACCGGAATCCCGGATATGCGGCTCAGCGCGACGCGCTGCTCCACCCACAGCGTAGACGCGTAGTACCGATGCAGCATGCGTCGACCCAGCAGACGTGCCCAGCGAAAGGGATCCGTGAAAAGCTTTTCGTCCTCGGAGGCCCCCATCAGCCTAAGGTACGGCACGTTCGCGGGTAACGCGCGCTGAAGCAGCAGCTGGCTGGTGCTTTGCGAGCTCTCCAAAACGGCAAGCACCGGCGACTTCCCAGGGCTCTCAATCGCCTCTGAAAGGGCCTGATGCACCACACGCCACCCGCTAGCAATATCTGAGACGGTCTCCGTATGAATGCTTAACTCCCCCTTCGCCGGCAGCCCCATGTGCTTCATCGCTTCCTCACGGAGGGCCGTCCAGTTCACGGAAGGGGGGGCCGCGGCCGCGGGCTGCACAAACACCACCGTCGCGACGCCGCTCTGCGGGTTCACAAACGCCAACACCCCACGGGTGTCCGCCGCGACGTGAAAGATGAAAACCACCCGCTCCATCAACTTGTCGAGATACCGCGTGCTGCTAGACATGGTGAGCTCCTCCAGCCGGAAGACGTCGCGTTGGGAAGGGGGGCGGGTTTTGGCGTTCTCGAGATAAAGCGCCGTATCCACGTCGGCGCAGCACCCTAGGGTTTCGATCAAATGATCCACTCGGGTGATGTGGGCCTCGTAGAGTTGTCGGACGCCTTCCGTGATGCTGATCTCGTTGAGTCGTCTCTCGCCGGCGGGGCCGGGTTGCAAGGTCACTTGGTATTGCCGTCCTCTCGGGCGATTCCGAGGTAAGATGCGGTTGGACACCTCGACCACCGACCCATCCTCGTAGGATAACGGCGGCGCGCGAGGATCCATGTCAACGATCACGCGACGGGGCACTTGGACGCGAAACGTGCAGAGAATGCTTCCCAGGGCGGCCAAGACTAGCACCGTATCCTGATCATCCGGCTGCTCGCGGACTTCTAAGACATTCCACATAGTGGAAAGCGCACGCGATTTGAGATCGATAAAATGCCCCATGCGAGTCCGCTGGGCGGTATCAAGCGAGAATTGTGCCGCGGCTTCGTCACCCTGCTGCATGAGCTCCTTGCGCAGTCGCGCACGGTGAACCCAGGCCTGTTTTTGGGCTTTGAGCCATGCAGGCATCCCAGGGTCAGTGAAAAACGACGTATCTATAATCTTTGAGCTTTTGGGTGAGAAATACTTTTCCTTCAGAGTCTGCACGGCAACTTCTTCAAGAGCTTCCTGTTCACGCCTGATGCGCTCGAGATCATCCTCGGAGCTGATACACGAGCCATCACCATCTTCGTCTTCCCAGTCACTATCCCCGACGATGTGCTCCTGTTTTCGAGTCGCCGATGTTGAGCCCTTGGACTTGGATTTTCCATTTGCGCGCCCCGCCAGGTCCTCAACATCTTGCAATTCCACCGTCACCTTAAGCCCTGCCTCGGAAGGTGCATCTTCGGTTATAAGGCCAGCTTCCCCTTCACCATCGTCTTCTTCATTGTGGCTATTGTTGCGCATGCTTTTCAGCTTCTCATTGGACCCCTTCTTGTCAAACAGACCACTCAGCGAAAGCTGACGAAAGCGGGAGTCCTGCTGCCTCACCCGTTTCTGCAACCAATCCGGATGGGGTACACGCGGCACTGGGTTGGGGATGAACTGCAGCGCCGCCGGGATCGTGATGATCTTCTGCACGCACGCGTTAAACCGTGTAGTGTAGTATTCCCAATCCAGCAAGCTTCTGAGGTCGATTTCCGAGGGCAGCGACGCATCACCAGTCCACTTTCGCAGGAAATGTGTGCGCACCGCGGGCTCCGCGCGGAAGATGGTTACCGGAATCGCGCGCTCGGTTACGGAGCGGCTGATAGGAAGACGCGAGATGATAAACTGGCAGGCGAGACCCTTGTCCTTGACCATCTGCGGCCCGAGGAACTCCGCGATGCGGCGCGCCGTGGTGATAGCGAGCGATTTCTGGTTCTCGGGGTACTCGGATAGCCGTCGAGTCATGTTGCTGCTCTCCGTAATCTTCTCCAAAATTTCCTCCACCTCGTAGCCCTCCCCTTTAGATTCGAGCATGTCCAAGGCAACATTGGCCACCGCCGCCGCGGCGGCGTACGCCCCTTGCAAGCTGTCGCCATCCAGAAAGCGGCTGAACACCTGCGACTGAAAGTCCTTAATAAGCATTAGTTCGCCACGCCGCTTCAGCTCAAACCCTTTCAGCTCCGCGATCTGGCCATCGGAGTTAAACACCGCATAACGCTTTTTGATACTCTTGCCCTCCTCCCGACTTGCCGGCAGCAACATCGCATGGTACGGACCATCGAGTTCAAAATAGATCGTGCACTCCTTACGCGTTTCATACACGCCAGGACGCACGAGAGCCTGGTACTGGTCATTGCTGTAGCGGTCGCCGACCATCTTGTTGAACAAGGCGCAGAGGTACGACACGGCAACCCTCGGTTTCTGCGGGTTCGACGTGGTGAAGACGAAGTTCTGCGGGAAAGTGCAGGGGAGACAGCACCAAATCCCATCCGTATCGAGCTCCAGCGTGATGCCAATCTCCTGCATGAAGGCTCGGGCCATCTGAATCAGTGAGGCCCCGCAGTACGTCACGATGCCTGCCATTTCAATGCTATACCACCTGCTCCCTTTCCGCATCACATAACCGTAGAAGGAGTTCAAAATACACTTGTGGGCAAGCTGTAGAGATTCCATCTGGATGCAGCGGCTCTGACAAAGCTTCACCTCATCGGGGCTCTTGGCGGCCTCTAGCTTTTTTTTCCACGTTTTTAGGGCGGCCTTGTACTCGTAGCGCCGATCTCGGAATTGCCGCACAGTGTCCACATAAAAGGAATTCTCCCGCTGACAGACAACATTTGTGCGCACAATCTCACGCGTCTCGTGAATCTTACCGTACGCTTTTCGGCTGTATTCCGCCATTCGCTTCTTTAAAATGCTGAACTGCGTGTTTTCGCTAAGCTTCTGATAAGACTTTAGGCCATTGCCGCCGCCCTCCTCGTCGGAATCGTCACCGGGATGGTCACTGTCCGCGTCGGCGCCATCCCCTTTGGATTTGCCGGAAGTGGTTTCCTTCGGCAGAAAAGCCTCAGCCGCCTCGCGCTGTTGGAGTTTGGTGCCTTTGCGATAACCTCCGGCGCCGAACGGCTGCCCGCGCTCTCCGTCCCTGCGTTGCCTCCAGTCGGATCGTTGTTCGTACGCCGTTCCCTCCAACACGTTGCCCTTTCGGTTGCCGTACGTCTTTTTCTGCACCGCGGAGAGATTGGCCTGCTCAATAGCCGCGGCAGCAAAGGACTCATTCTCGAGCTGCGCTTTAACTCGTTGAAACTCGTAGCGGCCGGCGGTGAAGAGTTCGCCACGCCACTTCCACGACATCACTCGTTTGCAGCCGTACTCGTTATTAGGGGAGTTGAAGCAGCAGCCCGCGCAGACATCCGGGCTTGGGATGGAGTAGGGCTGGAGGCGATTGGTGAGAATCACGTTTGGGTACATGGCGCCCACATCCAAGTGATAGATAACGGGTTTCTCCTGCTGCTTGGGGTGGTCACGGAGATGGGTTAGCGCGGCGATAACCTGCGCTCGCACCTCCTCCATATTGGTTACCTCCTCCACCTTCACGTGGTTTTCATTTTCCAGGGTAAAACGAAGCGTATCGTCCAGGTCGTTTATGAGGTTCTGATAGGTTGCGGAGTTCAGATTAAAAGCAAGGGGCAAATCGGCGCGATAGACGCCACTACGAAGAGCTTCGACTCGACCACCAATGTACGTCTCGGTGTCGATTAGGTGCCCGTCATAGAACTGCTCCCGTTGCATCTCCTTTTTATTAGGGAAGATAACATTATTGGCCTCCGCTTTCACCATGAGTAACGCCTCACACAATCCACCAGAGCCTTTGCGGAGCACGTCATCCGGGGGCATAGGGATGATCGTGGCTAACGAATAAATAAAAGGATGAATATACTTTTGATAAAGATACCAGGTCGACACGGCATCCGAGACGGAGTACGAGGCCATACGCTGTGGCTGCGTTTGCGCGAGTGGCAACATATCCTCAGGATCTACTTCAATAGGGTCGAAGCCGAGCTTTGCTCTCGTGACGGCCTTCAGGCCTTGGCTTCCCTGCGGCAAGTACGAATCACGTTTCACCCAGTAGAAGCAATCCAGGTGAGGGATCTGCTGGTTCAGGAAGGCGCCGTCGGCCCCTTGTGAGAAGCCGATCTCCTTGCGCATGTTCATCCGATGAAAAAGCGCGCGTGCATGGATGAAGGGAAAGTCAAAGTAGTCCCCATTATACGTGACGTACACGTTTGGCTGGTATATGTTCATTTCGGAGAAGAACCGACGCAAAACGCCGGCCTCGTCCGGCTCATTGAAAGTTTCAAAGTGCCCTTCATACTCCGGCCGTGGGGTGTACTCGAATGGGTGGATATCCTCCGTCACGATCTCACGGTTCACAATTAAGTAACCGCGTCCATCCAAGATGTAGGATATCATGTAGATCTGATCCACCTCCGGTTGTGGAAAACGCAACGGGGCCTTGGTTGTCTCGATATCAAAAGCAACCACCCGCGGCATGGCCGGCGCGTACTTGCTATCATCGCAACGCACGAGGCTCGTCTCGCCATCGGTTACCGTGACGTCATACCACAACCCACAAAACACCTTCATATCAATCGCAACACGCATGTAATACTTCACGTCGTACTCGCGCATATCTTGCACCCATTCCGTCCAGCGATCAGGGCCGGCGTTAAAAAGATCCTCCTCAAAAGGTTTCGCCATGGCCTCTCGGAGCGAGACGTTGCTAAAGTTCTTCCAAAGGGACGCGTCGTCGGAGGAGATGGCGTTGTTGCGTTGGACTATATGGCTTAAGTGGCTGCGAACGGTAGTGAGATCCTGCACGTTTTGGAACACCACCTTCATGTAAAGACGTCTCCGTCCGCTCAGGTGGTTTATAAGGTCTAGATCCTCCTTCTCAACTATTTCAATACGATGAATAAGCTGTGGACCGAACTTCGCCATCAAACCAAGCTCCACATCACGCTCATGCCCTTCAACAGGGAGTAGCATAATGTAAGGGTTATAATGGAGATTCACAGAGAAGGTATCCCCCGCATGATCCTGGAAAAGCAGTACTAGTGCAGCACGGTTAGTACCTTCCTCTTCAACACGCCTTTCAATCTCAACAACCTCTGTAGTGGAGTGATAATTAAAAAGCCAACCTGTGCGAGAACCCGATTTCAGGCGCGTCGGGGTCATGACCTAACGCGTGTTTTCAAACAAAACCTACAGTGTGAGAGAAAAAAAGTTGTCTAAGTATGGTTTTATTTGGCTTCTATTTTATCTTTCGATACATATATATATATACGTGTATACAGAATAGTGATTTTCAAGATTATCTAGGAAACATAAGACACACATGAAAATATCTTCATTCACATTTCCAGAGGGATTCGTGTGAAGCTTGAAGAACGCCGATTAGACATAAATGTAGAGGCAAATAATAACAATAGCATCAGGATAAAATGACGAAGATTAAAATAAGTTCCTATGTTAAGAATTTGATCTGAAAGATAATGAAATTAAGCGATTTTAGTTTCACTTTGCGTGAGTAATCTTAGGATACTCGTATAAACACTATATAGCCACGCATAATGTGTAACACTCATGCTATACGAATAACAATGGCAGCAAAAGAAAAAAATGTTTTAATTACTATGCATATGGTATTATTCCTACATTGTACAAAGTATAATAGTTGCTACTCTTACTTTGATATTTCGACCCCTTGGCTCCATAAAGACTCATCTGCGGGGTTACAACTCGACTCCCTTTCCTTTTTATGTGCATAGTGATTCACCCAAAGCGACCGCACTCCAGGGAGGAAAGGGACGGGCGCTCAGGAAGCCACTGCTCAGAGCGCCCCCACGTCAATTCTAGCGTTATGCGTGTTTCTTCCGCGAGCAGAAACTCCATCGTACTACTACAATAAGTATACTCCACTTTCTCTGTTTTTTCTTTGTAAGACGCCTGAACACATGATGAGCTAAACGCTCTGTAATGAGAGTTCCGCCCCATACATAAGCTTACAGTACGGAATGGAAATCGTATTAGTTTTTTTTTGGAGAGGGTCTCTTATCATAGCCCAAACTTAATCCGTGTGCATGGCAGCCATCAAAACTTTTGGCTGTAAATGCATGCAGAAAATTGTAAACAGTCTTTCGCTTCGTAAAGCCACAGATCGGCCATATCAACAAAAAACCATAATGGAATCAAGAACATTTCGATGATCTCTGTAATCAGATGCATACCACCTTATAGTTTCACTAGCGAATAGCAAAGGAAGAAATCAAACTGTGACCACCAATAGACTTGAGCGGATGAGTGTTGCTATTATGATAAAACAAGATCGGCTTTATAGCCTCGTTATGAATGTTTATTTCGTATAATTTCTTCGTTGTATTGAAGTTTGATAATGAAGAAGGAAAAGCTACTGAATCACGACGGGGGAAATCAAATGATGTATAAAGAAGAATCAAAATAGAAATAAAAAATAACATACGAGTATGTAGCTCAGGTTTCGAGTAGAAACAGAAAAATCATTATGTAACATTTCATTTTGCCTTTCCTGAAACAGTCAAAGCGTCAAAGTTAGAATTAAGGATGTAATAAAATTCAGTTTTTTATGTTTTGAACGATGCCAAATGTTCATTTGGAAGTCAAGGTAGAAACATGGAAATCAATGTCACAAACATAATAAAGGGAAGTGATCACTCAAAAAGAAAAAAATACTATCCAAAGCGACCCGTAGAAGTTGCTACATACACCTTTCCTTTCGTCTTTTTAGCTTCTTCATGCATAATTTGCGTTTGCCGATGCTTTAGGAAAATCAACGCTACTAGTGTAATGATTTCCTCGTCTACCATGAAAAACATAATCCACAACGAGAACCATATCACCCAATAGTGGAGCAGCGCCTCTTTGAATCGCTCCGCGAAAGTGATCGGCTTGAGTGGCTTCTGCACACGCAGGGTGTATGTAAAATCAGATTTCTTAACGGTACTGTGAAGATTAGCCATCTCAAGAAAGCTCGTTTCGGTTTCCTCGTTGGGGGTAAGCACAAGTGTCTCCCATAACTTTTCGCCACCATTCACGGATAGAGTGAAGTTACCCTCCTCTTTAATGGATGGCAGATTCATGAGTCGATTCATCTCTTCCTTTGTTTTGATATCCGAGAGCTCCACACTAAGTGTAAGCCAGCGTCGTCCACCGGTCGAAGCGAAGCGGTATTTTCCATAAAGCCGACGCTCCAGCAGTAGTAGATCTCGGATCAACTGGTCGGAGTCCAAGCTCGCCCCTTCTTTCGACAAAAGCACGTCATGCACCGCCTTGGTGATGGCTACATCACGGCGCACGTCAAAGTTATAATGATTCAACACAAACCGCACCGCCTCACCTTTGAGGACATTCATATCAATGGCTCGTTGATAAAACCCAGCGGCCATGATGGCCTCATGGATTTGAACGCGTCGATTTACGTCTACACAGCTTTTTTTGTAAAGCTCCGAGCGAAGCACATCCATGCTGTCTCCCATCGCTTTAATCAGAGCGCGACGCTTGTGAGGCGAGTCCACAGTAAGAAGAGAATTTACCGCACTCTTCAAACCTGACATGTGCAAGATCTCATCCCGCTCCGCAATTGCGGCATTCGCAACCCCAAGTTCTTCTTCGGTCAATGGCCCACCCCCATTAAAGAGCTTCGCGTGAGGCACAACCGCGGAGAATAAGTGGACACGAAGACGAAAAGTAGCGCGTAGCATTGCTAGAAGCTACTACTCTATTTCTACTATTTTTGAGTCCCCTAGATAGAGTAAACTTTAGTGAAATCACTAGTATGTATCTTCAATGAAAAACGGCAAATTAGGCATACGGTTACACCAAAAGGAAACAGAGAGGTTAAAAGTGACAGTTTTAAGACGAGGGGAAAAAAGGATGATTCCACGGGTCTTGGAATATGCATTAAAGATGATCCGAGTTATGATCCGAGTATGGGTGGCAGTAGAAATAAATTGGCTGAGAAACACAACACAGGCTTCTTCCACCCGACAAACGATCCCGTCATCGAGATTCCGTAGCGCCGTTCATGAACATTAATAGGAAGACCACGTAAAAGAAAAAAAAAAGGAAATGCACACCCATAGGCCTAGGTGTATCCGTTTATCATTATTGGAGTTTCTCCTGGCTCAGTCGAAAATAAACCCCCATCGTGGGGGCGTTCATATGTCGTTCGGCTTCCCTCTCTTTCTCGCCATTCTCTCTTCCCTTTAATCCAAGGCAAAAAGGTAGCGGTTGTGAAAGGGTACCCCAAAAAGCTTCTCCGATCGTGTTGCGTTGTTATACTCCGCGAGCGCCTCGCTACGGGGGTCGGAGTTTTCCGTATTCTTCGCCGTCGAAGGGGCGGCATCCCCTTTGCCAGCCTCACCCACCCCTCCCTTGGCAGGCGCCGCGCTCGTCGTCGTCGTCGTCGTCGTTTTTTCATCAAAGTGAACCCGCTTTCCCATTTTGGTCGTATCCTTTGGCTGGAGGGAAAGTTTTTCGCGAATAAACGCCGTCAACCCATCAAGAACCGGCTCCGCCAGCTTCTCTAGGAGCTCATCAACGGCGTCGCCACGGCGGATGCGGCCTTCCAACCGCGCGAGCAGCCCGGGGAGCTGCTCCTTCGGCATCCCCTCGATCTCCGCGCGAATCGCCGGCGGGACCTCCCCTGCCTGCACCGCCGCGAGCCCTTCCACGTATTGCCGACGCGTCGCGAAAACTTTTTCCTCCTCGGCGCGATGCTGCGCGGCGCGATCGCGGTGGATTTTCCACGCCGCCTCCCGCTCCTCCTCCGCGCGGCGCGCTTCCTCCTGTTCGATCTCCTCGACGTCGCGATCGGCGGCGGTGCGGGTCGTCGTCGTTTCGTTCGGGATCGCCACCGCAAAACGCATTTTCAAGAGGCCGCGTTTCCGCAAAAATTTCGCCTCCGAAGGATCCTCGTGGACCGGGTAGTCGAAGACGACGGTCAAGAAAGGCTCCTTCCCCTCCTGCTCGTCGTCCTCGCCTTCGCGAAAGCACTCCAGCCGCCGCGCGCTCACCTTCACGCAAACCTCCTGGATGGATTGCACCCCGGGGAGGAAAAGCTCCACGTCGTAAAAGGCGGGAACGGAATCGCGGAAAAAAGGGCTTTGCATCGGTCGCGTGTGCGTCGACCAATCGTAAACGCCCTCGGGCTGAACGCGGCGAATCTCCGGGGTGGGAGCGGAGGGAGGAGGGGGGGTCTTTGCCGGTTGGTCGATTTCCTCGATGAGTTTGTGGGTGTTGCCAAGACCCCCGGCGTGGGTGGGGGCGGTAGGCCCCTTCCCAGTCGAAGGGAGGTTAATTTCATCATTCAAGGCGTTCTTTTGCATCGGGACGCTGGAGAGGCGAATCCGCTGCGGCTCGAGTGTCCCTTTGGCGGTGAAGTTGAGGTTTCGAAACTCCTCCGCGTTCATCAGGGGCTCGGACTTTTGTTTAATCCACTGCATGCAGAGGGCGGCGACGAAGCGGCGAAATTCATGCTCCTCGCCACACCGCTTGATGGTGGTGGGGTTCACGATCACATCGTAGACTTTGCAGGGTTTGCCGCTCTTGTCGGTATCCGGCCGCGCCTGGCCGCAACTAAGAGGGATGCGAAAGTGCACCTCATTGTCGTCGGAAGAGTCACATTCTTCCTTTGGGATCGGAATCGGCTCCGCAATCCGTTCGTGTTTGCAAATGTTAATAAAAATTTTACATCCCCCGCTCGTTACGCATTTTATGCAGAACCCTGGTTCGGGTAATATGTACATCCACTGGCCGTTTTCATCGCTATGAACTTTCTCAAGCTCTTCCTTGGCCTCCTTCATCGCCTCCTCTCTTAGGGTTTTCTGAAGCTTGCGGAGCCAGGCATCACGCTTGGGATCTCCTTCTTTGGGTATATCTTTCATCAAATTTTCAGCATCCTCACCGTTTATTCCTTTACCAGTTGCTAAGGCACGTTGAAATATACTTAGGAACTTTTCATTTTTCATAAGCTCCTGAGCTACCTCATTGGGATCGCGGCTCATTTTACTACTATTTGCTTAAGTAAATCCCCCAAGCGATGGATGTCAATTCACCGTCTCCTGAGATATTACAAGTTTGTCAACTTAGTAGAACTAGAAGATAAAATATATACTGCGAATGAGAAAAAGTTCTGACCTCCTATAATAACATCAGTATAAAGCTGAATATACAAATATGAAGGAAGGGAAAAATAGGAGTTATATCAGTCAGACAATGAATAATATCACTGCCGAACCATGCAAAGCTCTCAATGAAGCTGCGCTATTCAAGGATTGGAGAATAAGTGCGAGGGTTTCTCTTAGATTGTTCAGTGGATCGTGTTAAACTGAATATCAGATGACAAAGAGGTTCAATATTTTAAAAAAATGAATAGCTAAGCCAAAAAGTGGCAGCAGTCCTCCCTGAACTGGAGAGGGAGACACGGTGCTCGTGAACATGATGTGTAGAGGGTCTCAAACAAAAAAGACCTTTCCATCTCACGAACTATGTTAGCTCCCTATACTTAAGAGCCGCTAGAATAGTCAGGCGATCTGAGAAAAATAGCTCTGTCATGAGATTTCCACGCGAACGCCAGAGAAAAATAAGGAAAGACATAATCTAGGCCAATATTGACTGCGATAGAGTATCATGAAACTCAACTTCGCTATGCAAGTGTCTGAGTGTAAACCATAGAAAGTTTATCTCATCTCAAAGGGTATTGCATAATGCTTTTCAACGCTTCATGAAATTGATTATTTAGTTGCAAGTATCGCACACAGAAAGGTGGAAAATCAAAACTCAGTCAGTGTGGATTGTCCTTGCATACACAATACCATAACAACACAGGAATAAAGACAAGAAAGCAACACAAATCATAGGGAACACACGGGATCCCTTTTTAGGGGTCAATATCTGTTGTTTACGCAATATTCAGTAATTAAAATCGGTCTATTGTCGATCCCATTATGTGCATCATCATTATATTATGATAATGCGTTTTACACTTTCACCATATGCCTATTTAAATTTCTTCCCCCAATTAGGTATAGCATGCAGCCAAATAAGCTGCGCAAGGTAGTTTTATCCAGATTGGAAGTTTATTTTTTTCACATATTTTTTCTTATTGGTGTTACCCTGCATACCCCTCATCAAAGCAGGTTAAATGCCTAGCATAAACATTAGCAAATCAAACGCATAACTAATATTGGCACTGTGCTTATTCTATGAAAGAATGTTTTCCAGAGATTAAAAACATTTATTCCCCATTAAGGGGTTCCACCAAACTAACATCCAGTTTATTGCCTAATGAAACACCATATAATATGTCTATATATATTTCGCATAATGTCCGAGAAATAGGTGAAATCATAGAAGGAAATAGATTCCACACGTCGAAAGCTATCCATGATCGAAACCAAAATCACATCCCACGCCACTCAACCCCCTCCCCCCCCCCTCTTATCATCCTTTCACGCGGAAATTATACGTTTCCTCGAGATCGATCGGGTTTATCTTCCCGTAGTACCGCGTCCTGTGTTGAAGCACCGCATCCTCTGGGAAGGCGAGGAGCTCCCGCACGAAATGATCCATCGTGGGAGCGACGTAATGCGGCACCCTCGACGGCGCCGTTGCCAACCACTCGAACTCCTCATCCGCCTCTCCCATCGTCCGCGCCGCGGCAGGGGCCTGACTAATCCCAGAAAGCACATGCACACTCGTCCAAAGCCCTTGTGCGGCATTCGCGCCGAGGATATCCGTTTCAAGATTATCCCCAACCATAAAAATCGCACGAAGATCCTCGGTTTTCCACCCAAGGGCTTCTGAAACGGTTCTGAGGCGTTGCTCCGCGTAGGCGAAGGCAATCGCGCGGGGTTTGCCATAACAAGTCGTCTGCAGCCCCCGCCCGGAGACGCTTTCGAAGACGGCTGCGAGCATCTCGCGATAGGCGCCCTGCCCGAGCCGTGGAAGCGGCGCTTCCGTCGACCACAACAAATCATCCGCCGCCTGAAAGTACGGGATCGTCTGCACCCCACTCACAAACCGTCCTGCTCGACCTTGTGGGGAAAGCAACAGGTCCAACGTTGTCTGAATATCATTAAACGCGTCATCGACGTCGCTGAACTGAAAAACGGCGGCGACAGGGGGGAACGGGACCTCGCCGGGCTCCGAAATCCCCCCTAGCAGCCCCTCCCGCGCCCATTTCTTGAACGGCACCATCTCCGGATGCTCGGCTTGATATTGAAGGATGCTCATCGCGCCGTCAAAGCCGTACTCCCGCGCGATCTCCGCGCAGCGAGGGGGCCCCCCCACCACCACCCGCTCCCCTCGAAACCGCGGCGCGAGCAGCCGCATCGGGCTGTGCGCGAGAATCACCTGCGTCGCCGCGATCTCGCAGCCGAGGAGCTGGGAAAGCTCCCGCGCTTTCTCCGCCTCACTACACGCGCTGCCGTTGGTGAGAAAAACGAAAGGAATGCGGAGGGTTTGAAGCACGCGAATGGCGTCATCGGCGCCGGGAACGACCCACCGCCCCCGGCGAACGACGCCGTCGATGTCGAAGACAATCCCGGCGGTGCCGTGCAGCGGCCACCGCCGCGGTTCTCCCGAAGGAGGAGGGGGAATGTAGGTGGTGTAGCGATAGGGAATCTTGCTGTGCATCTCCTCCGCGAGCACGCGTTGGGTTTCCTCGGAATACCCAAACGACTCCCCTGGGCCTTCGCTTCCCCCACCTCCCGCGGCCTTCCCGGCGCCCTCCGAAGGCGCCGAACTCGCCGCCCCCGTCAAGCTCGATTGGTACTCCCCCCACGCGGCCATTTGGCTGGTGCTGAAGTACTTCTTCGGCGTCGCGCCGTAGGGGAGAAAATTGCGCTTTTCCGCGATCCGCGTTTCGTGCAGGGCGGCCATCTCCGCCAGGCGGTGTGCCTCCGCCTGGATGGGTTGATGCGCGGCCACCGCGGCCTCCTCCGCGGCCTCGGCGCGCTGCTTTTCCCGGCGTTGCCGTTGAATCGGGTTGGCGCTCGTGAGGAGCCCGGCGAAGAACGCATCGGCGGACTCCCCATTACGATCCCACGGCGGAACAAACCGCCTTCGCAGGGCTATCGCGCTCGACAAACAAGCCCGACGCAGCATACAAGACCCACGCACCAATCTCTTTCACTGCCCGGTTTCAAATGCTAAATAAATATATAGATGTATTTTTCAAAATAATAATAATAAAAGAAATTGAAGAAGCTAGAAGTAGCACTCCTGTTTTTAGGCGAGATCGGCACGTTCATGCACATTTTGAAGGGTTCGATAAGGACGAAAAGTAGATGGAAAAACGAAAGCACGCAAGCATCCCAACTTTTCTAAACTACTCAGAGGACTATATGTGGGAAATAACTCCTCGCACAGCATTAATAGCACGGTATGATTTTTTGCTCAATGCCTATTTTCATCCGATAATAGTGCCTCTTCACCTCTGGTTGGAACTAAACACGTACACACTCAGTCAGGTACCGTTGTATCGCTTTGTCTTTTCAGGCCCTGTAGGGATGGCTAAAACTGAGGCTTTCGCTGATTTTTGGACCTCCTAATGATTCGCATTGCATTTTCAGGATCTATTGTGTTGTAGTAATTTATGACATCCTGTGAAGGGGCCTTTGATTTCTGCCGAAGAAGTTCCTTTGTCTCAATGAGCAATCTGTCAAGAATCACAAAGGTTACAATGAGGAGAATAAATACGGCCGTGAAAACCATATTTGACAAGTTCAGCACGGAAAGGGTTTCATCGTTAAACAAGATTAAGGTTACAGGAGCTCGCCGATTCAAAAAGTGTGAGGTCAAAGCATTTAAAAAATAACTGACGAAAGGAGCGTAAACCACAACAAAAACGGCGAATGCTATCGAGAAAAAAATCAGTCCTACCGCAAACGTCACTTGTCTTGCCAGTTTCAAGCAGTCACTTGCCATTATAGAGAATCCTCTCCATTCAAAAAATGCAGCCATAGAGTATGGAAAAAGCGCCAAAAGCTTATCCAAGCCACTCTTCTTGAGTATAACGACCAACCTTTGCGTCTTGCTTGCAATTCCCTTTTGGTGCTGTTTTTGAAAGTACACGAAAAAAAAGTACCCTTTTAATGACTAACCCATTTTTCTAACAATACGTATACGATAGAGCAATAAAATGGTTAAACTTGGTTCTAGAATAGTCGATAACTGAGTCCATTTAGGATAAGTATTAGTACATTTTTTTGAGGATATTGTCGTTCAATATTCATATATTCCTTGCATATGCATTTTCTTTTTTGAAAAATTGGAATTGGACAAGTTTCCTGATAGATGATTCAATAGCTCTGCAGAATAGAACTCAATGCACAATGCTCCCACAAAAGCGAAAACCATACCTCCCATTATGTGTTCAAATGCGTCTTCACATAGGCAAATATATTGAAGAAGAGAAAAAATAGAAGTTTTTATCAGCACTTGGATAAAAACATGCACGCATGTCTTTTATCTGCAATTCAGGTGAGCTCCACCCGACTGTACATGCTCGCAATGAACTGCGCACATAAATAACTAATCAAGCTCAACCAACAGCAGAAAATAAGAACCAGATAGAGCTGCGTTTTTCCTGTTCCGTCGTCCTCCAAAACCTCCGCCTTCACTCGGTAGGAGACCCTCAAGGAGGGCGTGCAGGAGGAGCCAGTGAGGTTCCAAAATTGATCGGAAAGTGCGAGGCTGCTGCAGCGCCGTAATCGCGCCGCTTCCCCACCCCCTGCCGGCGCGCTTGAGGGGCTATCAGGGCTGAAATTCCCTTCAGAGGGGGAAAATTGCCGAATTAAAGAGTCGTTCAGCTCCTGGTTTATCTTCCTCGGCGGCATCGACACGACGGCGGCGATCTTCAGCACGGCCTCCGCCTTCTCCCGCTCCGAAAGGGACCGAAGGGCGGGGCGAAACCGAACGACGAGGCGAAACCCGCAGCGCAGTTCCCGTTGCCTGCCTTTCGAAAGCGAAGCCTCCACCTCCTCACAAAGCCCTCCCCCTTTTTCTTTCGTTTTGATTGCGAGGGGGAAGTCGAAATCGAAACGCGAGACGGAGGCGAGTTCGCAGGCCGCCCACCAAGGCGATCCCGTCGGATCCCGCGCGCCGCCCTCCCGCGAAATCTCTTCGAAAAGAACCTCAGGCGAGGCGAACAAAGAGGGGTCGAGGGCCTCCGTGAGGAAATCGTCCAGCCGCATGGAGCAGTGCGGGGAAACCCACGTGTGGAGAGCCCCGGCGAGCGTGCGGAAGTCCGCCTCGGCGTCGTAGAGGCTGAGATCAAAGCAAAGCTTTCCGGTTGTTTCACCCGCGAAAACAGAAATCCGAGCAATGCGGTTTGTTTCATCGTCGAGGGATTTCTGCGTGTTTGGGGGATCCTCGGGGGTTTTCCTCCCCCAAAAGGGGCCCGTGTGAAGGCGGCCAGAGAGGAGAAACGGTTTGGTGAGGAAGGCACCCACATCGGAGGTGGAGGAGGGGGGGCCTTCCGCATTTTTCTTCGCATCAGTCCGAACTCTACTACCCATACCGCGTGGGGTATGAGGTCCATCGAAAATATCGATGGGGATGCTCGGTTGTAGAAAGGATGAGAGATTCACCAGTACCATGGCATCCCGTAGCGCCTTTGAATTTTCGCTTTGCCTACTGCCTTCCGTATATACGTCGGGAAAAGTACAATTTGAGGTTATTAGTTGGTCGGCACTGTTAAGCGGCGTTAGATCTCTTGCCTCATTGCTCACTGTGGGTTGCAAAACATACAAATTGGCCGCATGCAACGACCACAACTCCAATGGATCGACGGCCAACGCCTCTAGCACATTGCCCGGAATTAAACACAAAATAGTATGCAAAAGAAGAGCAACTAAAATCCAGACTTGTTTCTTCATTACTATTATTATTTGAAGTAATACTTGGTAAGAAACCAAGATATTTCTATAGTTTTAAACCAAAACGACAAGTATTGTTCCTTTGGAGCACAGGCACGTTCCACCTCACTATGAAAAAGAATAGAAAAACAGTAGAAAATCACGAAGACATAGAAAATAAAAAGGAATGAATTGTAATAAATCGACAATGAAGTGATTGGTTTGACAGCTTAGGCTATGTAAGCTCAATAGTCACTACTTTTGCTACCCACTTACTCCTACTGGGAGACGAAACTATCAACACAGTGTCATGAAACTTATTGGTTACATTTGTAAGGTAGGAAATAGTAAATACCTATAAATGCAGTTGCTCAAGGAAATTATGCAGCAGTGTAATAAGAGTTTACTTAAAATCTTGTGCTTCTTATGCTATTATATAGTTTGCTTTTGATGCAATAATGGCACTGCAGCGTTATCCCACATCCATCATTTCTCCTAGGAAACACATCAAAAAGCACAGCCCAGACGAAAGGACGACATACATTTAAAAAAACAGAGAAAACGAAGCAAGCGGCATGACGTCATGCCCAACTTCCCATTCTATCCGTCGTTGGGAAATTTTTCAGCCAAATGCAACTCTACCCCCGGTCCCAAGGTGAATATATATATACTTACATTGGCTCTAAGAGAGAAAGAAAGGGATGAATGTGAGAAAGTTCTGCATAACACCATTTTACCCCATTATTGGCCTACGTAGAAAATTTGAAAGAAAGTGCAATTGCATTCATGGCCTATCCTCAGAATGCATTGATATTTCGCCGTTTTCACAGGTTTGGAGAAAACCGCATTTGTGGAGCTAGTAAAATATCTAATGTTTGAATCTAGAACTTCTCCAAAACAACAAAAAGAAAAAATGACAGACCGAAATTGTTGTCTCAATAAATGTTTTACATGCATACACACTAGTGGAAGGCTGTTTCTTTCCCCATCCTCCTTTTTTCTTCTAAGCGTCTTTTAGTCTAATTTAATTTTCATTGTTAGACTCTAACGGTTATTAGGCATAAAGAAAACTTCCTTCGATACGTTCCATCTTCTCAGACCTTTTCCCACTCCTTCCGTTAGTTTTAATAATAGCCTCGATATTTTAAAACACACCTTTCTTATATATATTATATATATATATATATATATAATATATGAATACCCACGCGTATTTGAACTTCCTTTTTAATCATTTTTCTGATACTTCCCCCTCTTCTGTCAAATCCGAAGAATAAGACACCACAACTCTTCCTTCACTATTAGACGGAGCATGAACACCTGTGTGGAAAGAAAGGGGGATGGGGGTGATGTTTGCCAAACTCAACAGCAGAAAAGTGAATCCTTCCACAACCGTGCCGATGAGCAAATGCATGGCTGATAAAGGAAATTAAAATGCATTCAATCACCCACCGTCACCCAACCAAGAGCTCAAATCCGTCAAACACAACCTTTCGTTTTTTTCGCTTTTTTCATCGATGCATTTCGATCTCACGTTGCTTCTCGTGCACCTTATTTCGCCAAGCGGCCGTCGTGCAAATAGCGCCGGCGCATCACGGCATCCCGTTGCTGCTGAACGCCCGCGATATTCATCTCGACCTCCCCCAGCAGCTCATCCGCCGCGGAGAAGGCGGTTTGGCGGGCTTTGAAGATCTCCTCGTTGAGGTTGCGCTGCGCGGTCGCGCTCACCAGGCGCTGCTCGACGTAATCCGAAGGCTGCACCTCGTCGTTCGCCACGCTATCCATGCGAAGCACCACAAAAAAAATGAAAAGTAGCAAATTCCGAATGATTCGTAGATGGGTGTGCTTCACATCCGGATCCTGCCGCCAGCGCCGCCTGAACCAGGTGATGATCGGGATGTTGAAACGCTCCGGAATCCAATAATCGGCGGTGCTGTGCAGAAAAACCGCGATGGGAATGCCAACGCCGACGGCCTTGATGTAAGTGTTATAGGGAATCACGGGCAACCGCAGATTCTCTAGGTTGTGCGCAAATGAACTAACGGTGATGGCAAGTTGATCCATAGTGATAATTAGTCTTTTCGGCGACGTGATCCTTCCGCATCCCATGTGTTTGATTTCATTAAATGAAATAAAATAATAATCAAAGCAATAGAAACAAAAAGAGAAGTATTATGGACAGAGGAAAAGGGAAAGAGATAATATGAATCAATGAGTCTATAAAAATTCTCGTTTTTTTCGTTTCTTTGATAGTTCCTAAATTACAGTATTACTCGAGATACAAAATATACAATGTGCTTAAATTCGTTAATTCCAGAAGGAATACAGGATTTAAAAAATGATTTGTGCATCATAGAGGAGGGGGGGGAGGGGAGGGGGAACTAAACCATTGCGGTAATAGAAGCAACACCAAGAGCAGCATGGCATCCATTATTTTTGAATATGTCTGTATTTCTTTTTCACTAAGTGTTACAAAATCCAAGTAAATTCACTGAATGCTAACGAAAAGAGTAAACGTACAGGGCCTGTGTATATCGAACAATAATCGAATTCACATTCCCTTTGTAAGATGGGGAACAACGAGGAGAATGGATGAGCTATAATCACATCCACAATCCATTCGCTCCGCTAACACCCCCTTTTTCTACCTTTCCAGTTAGTTGTCTTCTCTGTTGAGAAACCTTTTACTACCTGAATTATTTCAATTTTTTGTGGAAAGCGCATGATTTGCGCACTCCGTACAAACCTTTACCGGAGAGCTAAATCCCAATCCCTTGATCCATGCCCGCGCGGAGCAGCAGTTGCTGCATACCAACCTCCCACAACTCCGACAGTGATGCCGCGACCATCGCCCGATGCTCGCTCTGCATACCATGCAAAAAACGGAATCACTATCCGGTTGCCAGACGAGATAACGAGCCCCTTCGTTTTTTAAACACATTGGGCATTCCCACATTGGAGGGGGCTGCCCAAACCGCATCCCGCAGTTCGGGCACTTCGGCGTGTAGGTGCGGTTTAAAACCCCCCCACTCACCCTCGGCGGCATGTTTAACGTGTGCGGCAACACCTTCTGCGCGATCTCCTCCACGGTATCATCTCGCGGTGCCCAACCATCTTTGCCAAGCGCAAGAGGATGATCCTCCACCATGCCACCGTCGTCATTTTTTTCGCTGTTCTCGCGCTCTCCTGGAAGTTTCGCATCGCCTGCAACCTCCCATTCCCCTTGCAAGCCCGGTGCACGGGTGTTGGGGCTTTTCGGCATCGTTTCAGATTGCGAACGCCCCTCACTCGACAATGGGATGGGGGAAGCTTTCGTTGCCGCTTCTCCCCCTGTCGAGAGCACTATATCCTCTTCTTGGGCACGTTCCAAAACCTTCCTGCCATCCTGCAAGCACTCCCGCTCCGCTTTGCCCTTTTGTTCTTCGTTTGTTAGAAGATCATGCTCAATAGGAACGGCACGTTCTTTGCGTTCCTTCAGCATCCCCAGCAGCTCCTGCCAGATTTCCTTTGCATCACGGCCGTTTGACATTCCCTCTTGAATAAGAGAGAGATCCTCATTCGATACGTCCGCCAGAAGCGCCATATCCTCATTGGATACGTCGTACTTACATAACCGCAACGATTGCAACACAGACTCGCCTAAATCCTCACAAGAAACCATTCCACGCTCTGCTGATGTCATGGAGGATAATCCCTAAACCTGCCTAGTTAAGGTAAAATGAAGTTCTTCCTTTATTTTATTCCTGTTCTGGGAAAACTATATAGACCAGAATGATATAATAATGATGCATTTCCATCAAACAAGCAAAAACTCACGCACGCATTTTCTAGCATAGAAAAGAATGCACTGCGATGAGAAAAAAGTAAAGGAGCCGTGGGTGTAGAAATAGATACGACCTTTATCAAGAGAAAGTCAAAAAAACAAGATAGAGGAGACGACACGCTTTTGCCTCCACTCTTGATCTGAATGTTTGTCTCTTACCTATGTTTAGTTGCTCAAAAATGTTGATTTTTTTCACCCTTTTTTCCCTTTCTTTTGAATTTGATACTTTTTCCCTCATTATACACATTCTCACTATGAATGCGTTCATGAGGTATGTCAGGAAGGATTCCTTGTGTGAAGCCGTTCGGCAAGTACAATAGAATATCACCTTCCAATTCAACTTTTAATGACTTTGTTGCGTGTGAGAGAGTTTCAATTCACCCATCACAGCCAAAAGTGAAAAACTCCCAATGATGCAAATCATTCACGGAAAGCTATTAACGATAACATCTTCAAAAAACAGGTTACCTCTCTCCCCCCATTTTTTTCCTATCGCTCTCATTTTCTCTATTTCTCTTGTCTTGATGCGGGAGGAATTTTACTGCTTTTCTACAGAGCTCTCTCTCTTAAACCCCGTCCAGAAGTAATGCCCCGTGTTGAACGAGGTGGTGAGTTTGAAGTTCACCTGGAACATCCGAGAGGCGATAGAGGGAAACAGATCTGGGTAAGTGAGAATATATTGCAAATCCACATTATGCACGCCGAAACGCGCCGTGTATGCCGTTAAATCCGCCGGCGGGATGAACTTCCGCCAGTCGTGCGTTCCCCTTTCGACGATTCCGGTAAGATACTCTGCTATCAGCACATGGCTAATTGCCGTCCGCAGGCTTTTATCCATCGTCGTCATTATCAACAACCCGCCGGGCGCGGTCACCTCACAGAGCGCGCGCACGAAGCCTCGGGCGTCATTCACATGCTCGACGACCTCGCTCGCAACGACCACGTCGAACCCGCCAGGCCGCTCCCGCGCGAGCTCAAAGAGGCTGCGCGGTTCGTACGAAAGACGTGTCGTCCAGTCACTTTCGGGCGGCAGCCCCTCCTCGCGCCACATCGTCAGCCGCTCGTTCGCCGCCGTGATGCTCTCCTCGCAGGCATCGATGCCGAGCACCGTCGCGCCCGCGCGCGCGAGGGCCTCCGAGAGAATGCCGCCACCGCAGCCGACGTCGAGCACGCGATGCTCCGCCCGCAGCAACCTGACAGTGGCACCGGTGTCATGGTGGGTGTTGCTATTGTGAGTGTGCGTGTCATTGCCACAACCCGTGTCAGTACAGTGAGGGTGTAGATGGCTCGGGTTCGTACCAGTGCTGTTCATCCGATGACCCGCATCGTAACTACTGGGATTGGTGCCAGGAGGGCGGTAGATAGGGTTGGAACGGTAGCGATCGAACTGATGGACCTTCTCGGTGATGTAGCCGACGCGGGTGAGGTTGAAGAGGTGGAGTGAGCGAAGCGGCCCGGAGGGATCCCACCAGCGCTTCTGCAGCAGGCGGAACTTGGCGAGCTCCTCGGCAGACACCCCACGCATGGTGTCGGCGGAGAACAACCGTTTCGCCACTCGCATAATGGAGGATGAGAGTTAGTTTTTCTGATGTATAAATATAGATATCGATCGGCCTCGCCAAACCCTAGGCTATTAGTTTTCTTCAAACCTCCTAAAGCCGATGAAAATTCCTGATTGACCCTTATTCTAGGAATTCGATGGGCACTTAAATATAAAGCTCTGGGCTTGTTCTTTATTTTTTGTAGTAGCTATAAAAAAGCTAGATTTTAAATGCAATTGAGGAGAATAATAAAGTTAAATAAGAAAATATGCTTACAAGACGTTTTCTTTTTTTATAAAAAGAGTGATAATCAAAGTGTCTATGCTTTTTCCCAACGTAATTAAGTATATCTGTAAAGTTGTGAATCAATTCAAGTTGACGTATGTTCGTGTTTGTGTATATACACATACGCACACGTGTATTTAGATATATATATATATATATATTTATATTTATATTCATGAAAAGAAACATAGATGAAGTATTCTTCCATTATGCTGCCTTAAAAAAAAGAGGCTACTATAAAAATGTTAGATCAGGAAAATATAAAGCTTGTCTACAGTTTCCATTTTTAAAGAGACCAGAGAAAGAATTGCAAAATAAAGAGACTTTGAATATAAGATTATTCTTTTTTTCTACTGACTATTAATAGCTTATTGTTTCGTTTTTTTTAAAAAGCAGAGTGTCCCCTAGCCTAAGTTGAATAGCGTTTATAACTTCATCGATTATTTTTTTACTCTTTCTCAACAAGGGGGATAAGATTAGTGACAATGAAAGTAAAGGATAATCACAAATATCAATTCATTGATAAAATGTGACGTAAGCATGAAATAAATATTGTGATCAATAAAAAACTCTGAATCCCTCGAGATAAGTATAACAAAATACGCTTAAAACGATTTTGCAAGAAAAAATTATTGACTTAAAAGGCAATTTTTTTTCGCAAAAGGAGTGCGATATTCTTCCTAATTATAAAAACAGCAAAAAAGAGAGGCTCCGGACTTTTATAGGAATTAAATCTAAAAAAAAGCAGTTTTAAAAAAATGTCATTCGCATTCTTTTACGAGAATAGGACTCATCATGCATTACTTTTCCTTGAAACTTGTGAATCTGAGGAATGTAAAACCTTTGTCATTGGTTTGGGGCATTTAAAATATCAAATGAGACATCTATTCTAGATGAATTTTAGCTAGCCTAGGTCCCTTTTTAGCGATCACCTTTATCTCCTTTTTTTTAACAATGAATGCCTCTAGAAAATTAAAGAAAAAATAACATTTCAAAGGCCATCCGTGCGAGGGAGTTCCCATATCGTTGCTGACGCTTCAGAGAATCAAAAGCAACGCAACGCAACCTTTACGTTTCCTCTATGCTTTCAAGGAAAAATCACATCCACCGCATGGCTCCATGACGTCATAGAACCACCGTGTTGTGAAGGTTACCTTGCTATTGTCAACCATAATGGTTTTTTGTTTCACTATTCTAAGTGAGACAATGAGCATCCAGGTGCGTTGTCGCGCGCAATGAAAGCAGAAAAACGACTGAATAATAATAAGAATAAAGAATCGCTTGAATGAATAAAATGATGCTACATTATATAAGAAGAGGGAAGTGGGGGACGGCTAATTTAGTATACCACTGAGAGCTCTATTTTAGTTTTTCCCGCACCATGGTATCGTTCAGGTGCAAGCCTTCAAGAGGTATCCACACACCCCTCCGCCGGGTTTCGAGCCCGCAGAAGCGTCTTCGCGGATATCATCTTCGCGCAGACATTGGCTTGACGTAGCGTCGCGAGCATCTTAAGAGCCTCAGGATCGCGCAGGATCTGCTTCACTTCCTCCGGGCACCCCCACCTAGTGGGCAACCCCGCGAGCGTATCAAACACCGGCGTGCGCAGAACCATGTGGCAAAGCCGAGGATGCGTTAATGATCCCTCAACATAGACTCTGAAGGGAATTTTGAGCTGGAGGTGATCCTGCGCGGTACTAAGGTCCTGCAACTGAGGCTGCTCCGGAAACAACGCCGATGCCAAAACCGTCTCCGATGGAAGAAGAGCATTCCCATGAGTGCTTGGCTTCCATCCTAAGAAGGAGCGCACGTGGGAGATGGTATAGTCCCCACATAAGGTAAAATGATCGGCCACAAAAGCACCAGATGGAGATACCCCACAAGGGGCTTTCACCACCACATTCTCGATGTCGAAACCGCATAAAAGCACGGTAAAGAAATCTTCCAGAAGTCCACGACCCCCCACCACGCCATTCAGCTGTACTGTGAAATGGTTGGGTAAAACGATGTTGTCCAGGTTTTCCTTAAAGTTGTACACCGATAAACTGAAGCCTTTTCTTCCCTGATTAAAGGGAGACCAGAATTTGACCACCAAACGATGAAAAAACTCCTGCGCGTGGCGTTCCGAGCCGAAACCCATCCCTCCCTGCTGTGATAATGATGCCAAGCGCAGTGCACTGCATGAGCACGCCATTCCCCCCTCTCAAATGATTTGCTGATATCTGTTGAAAGTGTTTCGCTGCAAGATGAAATATGTTGGTACAGGTTTTTATATCAGGGTAAAGGAGCAATATGAGAAATAAAATTGGAACGGAGAAAAAAGGAGCTAAATTGATAACTAATCTGAAAATAATGCCTTTTCTTGAATATTGATTGAAAGCAGAGAAATAAGTCCCTGAAAAAAAAAAATGCCCTTATCTTTGCACTAAAAAAAGAAACGAGGAGGAAAAGGGAAAATGCAAATCTAGAGACAAGAGGAAAAGTCTTTTCCCTGATTTTAGACCAACTATAGCATGTTTTTACTGTGAAGCCCTAAATGCTGAAGCCCAAAAAAAATTGAGTCGAATTCATTTGCCCAAGCGAATGTTTCAAAATAAAGTGCGAGAATATGCCAAAAAGGCCGCACAAGTTGACTTTTTGTTGAAAGATAGCCTCGAACCCTACCAATAGTATGAGGCAATCATCGCAAGTCACAACCACATAAGCTTACTTATTCTCATTGCCATGAAAAAAATGAACTCTCAAATAGAGTGATTTAATAAGGCTTGGTTCGTATACGTTACGCAATACTTTGATAATTTTTGATATACAAATAAAAAGTATGCAATCCAGAGGCACGCGATGGTTCCGTGAAGCCGCAGCTCAGCTCTTTCTACGGAAAAGAAGGCAAAGATGACGCAGATGATCAGAGGCACCACCGACGCGAGGATCCCGTACAAAACCAACAAATTCATCCCCGTCAAATCCCGCGAGAAAGGACCCTCGATGTTGCAGCTGAACTGCGCGGGATCGTGCTGCCGCGTGACCAACGACACCGTATCCTGCTTTAACCCATCCCGAAAGTTCTGCAAATACCACCGCCGTAGCGCGATCATACCTTCGTGGAGGCTTGGGCGATAGCGCGCGTTGTTTCCACCACGTAAAAACGTGATAAAATGCGCCCCAACACCCGTGTACATCATGGAAAGGGCGATACCCTGCTCTGCGAAAAGCTCCCGAAGCACCGCGGAGGCCTCGATCAGACGTTGCTGAAAGGATGGATCGTTTAACGGTTGTGGTTTCACCCCGCGAGTGACCACCCCCGCGTCTTCACCCTCCCCCTCATCTGCATCCCCCTCGCGGTGGAGAACGCTTGCTAACAGGTAGGGAAGCATGCCGTCGGCGAGCAGCGCCTGCGCGACGTTCGTGCGATCGAGGCAATCCAGGCAGTTAATACGATAATAAAGCGACTGCGGCTGATATCGCCAACTCACACGCACCCGGCCCTCGCCTTCCTCCTCCTCCTCCTCGCTCCGCGAAGGGGCGCCAGAAAAGGTTGTAAAACTCACCCACTCCTCTTCCTCCTCCTCCTTTTTTGCGATCGCTTCGGAGGACGCATCGGGCGGGCAAACGGCCCGTCGAACCTCCCGCAGCAGATCCTCCCGCATCACCGCCAACGGCAGCGTTTTGAGTTTGATCTTCATATCGTATTTCATATAACAGACGTCGCGAAGGATGGACCCTCGCGCGGTGGTCGGACCCTCCCGCCACCGCTCAAACGCGAGGTGAAAGGCGTCGGAAAGGGGCTTTTCATGCGGGTTGGTGGAGGTGGTGTCGACCATGCAAAGCCGCCGCAACCCTCTCAAGAGCGAATTCAAAAGATGAAGGTGGGAGTCGAGCTCCTCGGCGGCGTTGCCCGCGGCGGAGATCCGCAACGGGGGTTTAAACGACAGATTCGCCGGCTGCTCCCACCGCCGCGGAACGGATCCCCGGACGATGCTAAGCACCGCCGTTCGCGGGAAACCTCCCCCTCTCCCTCCTTCCTCCGTGGGAAGTTTGGAAACCCACACGGAGGAGATCGCGAGGTTTGCGCAGATCCCACTCTCGCCGGGCTCGAGCCCACGGCGGTTGTAACGCGTTCCCGCCCAACAACAACTCAGCCGCGTCGTTAACTGCACGCGAAGTGAATCATCGGTGAAAAGCTCCCGTTGCGCGGCGTAGCCTCGGACGAACGAGGGAATAAACAGAAGCGAAACCTCCCCGAGCGTGGCGTGGAGGGATTTGAGCTGCATCAGCTCGCGAACGTAGCTTTGCTCCTCGCGGAGGGTGCCTTTGGCGAGGCCGATGAGCTCAGACTCACCGGTATCGCTCTCGCTGCTCGTCGCTTTGTGTTGCTTGATTTGCTTCATCGACGTCTTAAGGAGATAGCGTAGCGTAGGGAGGTGAAAGGGCTCCAGGAGTCGATAGTTCCATTGAAAGACTTCACAGCTTCGCAGGCGGGTTTTTTTCGCAAGCGATGCATCCGTGGGAACGCGTCCGGAGCCTCGGGAAGGCAGATTATTCCGCCCCACAAGCGAATTATCCTGCGGACGGAGAACCTCTCCTTCCTCGTTCGTTTGTTGACTTTCCAGGATCTCCTCAGGACTCATGGCAAGGTTGATTGTGGGGGAATAATATAGATACGATCGTTTCCCCATATCCCTCGAGACGGCCGCGCAAAAACGATCCACCACCTTCAGGTACGCACTAATCGTCGCCTCGTCAAAGCGATCCTTCGGTCCGTCGCTCTCCTCACCTTGGCTGAAAAGACTGCTCAGGCTGCACGCCTCGGCCTCGTCCTCGAGGGAGTTTTTCACCCCAGACGCTTTTATTCGCTGAGCGAATGAATCCTTGGTTTGTTCGAGATCCTCGGTGTAGGGTTCCCCGCTTTTTGGCCGTCTGCTCGACAAAGATGGCAATCGCATCCAGGCGAGTTTCACCACGCGAAAAACCTCATGCACCTTCTCTCCGACGTGCAACGTCAACGCGGGCGCTTTTTCTGCGACGTAGAGCAGCACCGAGTCGTGGTTGCCGAGCGGCAACACGCCGTAGAGTGCCTCGCAGCGGAGGCAGTTGCTCAACCACACCCCATTCCCACATTCGGGAGAGGAAATGCGATTCGGATTGGCGGTTTGATAGGGCAGCAAGGGGGATTTCACTGCGAGCTCCTTGAGGCTGGAGCAAACCCCCGCATCCTCCTCTTTCAGGCGATCGAGGAAGGCGAAGCGCTGCAGGTCCGGCTGCCAGAGCATCGGTGGGAGCACTGAAGAGTCTGGTAGGTAGTAAACACGCGCCGCATTCGTTATAATTTTACCAGAATGGTTCCACATCTCCTATATATATATATATTTAATTGATTGTTTGTTTTTTTGATTTAATATCTTTAAATAAAATTTGATAAAAAATAAATTCAACTTTAAAATTGATAAAACGAGAAAATGAATGTAAATGTAGAAGTCACACTACAGATAGCCCAAAAGAAAACATTTAACACTATCTGCGATACCCTTTCCACCACATTTTATGTATTTAAACGCTGCGCATAGCCTCCCTTTTTAAGCGTGCCGATGGATGAATTACCAAAGGGCTTTAATTTCTTTTCTTATCACCCGCTTCTGTTGCTACCGGATGAAATGAAGAAGGCGATGTGTCCTCGATGAACGCATATATCGTATAACTTGCCATGAGCACTACGACGCATCCGAGGGAAGCGAAGCCCCCGCACACGACAGAATCCATTCCCAACCATGAAGCGAGGTAGCGCATCCCGAACAGCAACACTACGATTGGAAGTGTTAGCATCGCCACGCTAAAGCCAATAAACACCTTCACCACGTGCTGCGAACGAGGACTACGGAGTTGAGTGATCAACTGCGCGCAGCCCTTACTCTTTTCCGACATCGACATTGAAACTGCCTTCTGAAACGCCTCCCTGGAGTGCGTCATATCACGAAGCATATCGCTCGTCGTGAGCGCTTCTTTGATTTGTTCGTTCACGGCGTCGTCAGGGGATTTGTAGAGGGCGTTGTAGATGAACTTGTTCTCCTCAGACTCGACATCCCGCAAGAGCCGTGTTTTAGGCCGCGCGGAGGCCGATGCCTCCTTTTCGGCGCGCAAGTCTGGAGGTGTTTCCTTCAGAGTGGCTTCGCTACTATTGAACCGCCTGCTATCGCATTCCCCTTCTTTGTTTGTTGTTTTCTCCATATCAATAATACGTGAGTGTGTATATCAAAGTGAACACTCTGTAGGGAGAGAAATACACCTATTTTTCACGCCTCTCCCACCGCTGTTGATGTGCAGCGGTTTAGAACACCTCGCAAAAAATGAAGAAAAAGATATAGGTGTATAAATGTGGAATAATAGTAATGATAACAGGAAATTGAACGGTAGCCCTGCAAGTCCATCTTAATGATCCAATAAAACTATAGATGGTAAATATATATATATATATATTTATTTATTTATCCAGATCGATAAACATTTGCATGCGAAAAGAAACATCTGTTTCTTTTTGTCCGAATCGTATACGCATATGTGTCGACTTTACAGAGAATGGCGCGTGCTGGGGAGACGTAATCTAAATAAATAAATGGGCATCGAACCATTCCTACGAAGGAATCCAACTTTACATATCCTCAATTAGGACTGCCTCTGGTAAGTCAATCAAGGTACTGTACAAAACGCGAGGTGGGTTCTCTTGAATTACAAAAGCTGTAATCCCATCCCCCTTCGTTTCCCCCTCCAACAGCTCCACAAAGACCTCAAAAGGGTGCTCAACTTTGGGGGGCAGGTAGGGCACTCGACAACACAAATTAGGAATGCGGTATACGGATGGATCCCCGGAAAAGGTCATGAGGAGCCCCTGCAGCGGGTCCTCGCTTGTATTCCGTAAGTTTCCCTTGATCTTGAAGGCCGGACCGAGGCCTTGGACGGTGGCGTACAGGCACACATTCGAGCCCGCGATCGGATCGGAGGCGCGGTGGCTTCCCCGTGGCCCCAAAGCCGCGCCGGGGATCCCATCCGCCGTCGACGCCTTCGAAATCAAAGCCAGGTAGGCTTTGCTCGTGAGCAGACGCAGGCTGCAGAGGTCGTGGTGGTAGGTGTGGTAGATCTCCGCGCCGTACCGTTGCTCGCGCGCGGTCTGGAGATCAAAGACGGGGCTGAGCTCAGGGGGTTGGGGGGCGGGCCCGGCGGTCAACGGCATCGCGCCCGTCCCCGGTTCCGTCCCCCCGGTGGCCGCCAAATCCGCGCGTCGATGCAGCACCTCCACGACGAGGGCGCCGTTGGCGAGGACGACGAGCAGCGCGGCCTCCTCGCGGCCGTAGCGGCCAAACCGCATCGCCGTGATCGGGCCGTAGGCGTGGCTGACGTGCCGCAGCGTCGTCCCGGCGTAGACGCGGAGTTCGCCGCCGCGGAGGGCGACCACGAGGCCGCGCGCGGCCGCGGTCGTCGTCGTCGTCGTCGGGATCGTCGCGAGGTTCGTCGCCGGGCTCGGCAGCGCGATCGCGCCGGTGGGTTTGCCTTTGAGGGTGAAAAACGTGATCGTCGCGGCGACCGTGGCGACCGCGACGCGGCGGCCGTACAGC